ACCGCAAACAGCTTCGCACAAAGCACGCACGCACGGGCCAGGCTGGCGCACGGCGCATGCAAGTTCTATAGATGAGAAAGGTCTTATAGTGTAACCCTAAGGCAACTTCCGCCCCGCCTCGTCGGGTACTACTGGTATTCAAATACTGAAAGCTATTGAACAACACATTGGGTTGCTTCCGGTAGCCCGGCGGCCTGGCAGCTGGGCTGGCAAGTTGGCAGGATTTGCCCGACAGACTCCCAAGACTCCCTGAGATGGCCAAGACCAGACATGGACAGAGAACAAAAATTAATGTCTCCGCGCGTCATTCAGATATTCAGCAAGACTAGCAACACATATGGGGTGAGGATTGCCAAAGCAAACACGTGAAAGCTAGACTTCACATAAACGTTGCATGCTGCACATGGGCATCTCACCAAATCGTGGAGAGTGGTTCGACTGCAGATTTGTGAGTGCAATAGCATCGAGAAACATCATGACCGCTGAGCATGCTCAATCAAGTTGGTAGCAGTCATTGCATTTATGGAATTTTCGTAGTGGTATGGATGTGGATAGGATCTGACAGATAAATGCCCAGGATTGCACAGGTGACATGGAGAGTCTGATATTTTTCGCATTGGCGACGCAACAGCATTCCTTCTCATGATTTTTTAGATGTGTGCGTGTGTGTGGTGCATGCGTGCCGCGGGGAACAAATCAAGATGATAGATGTAGAAAGCAGATATTTGATAATATGTAAAATTATATAAACCTCGGAACTCCTCCGATGCAAAAAATCCAGTGATTTAAGGTTTATGATCAAAATTACTGTTTTTTGGATTGAACCCAAAAAACGACTCAAATGCCTGAAAATCATGTTCTAAGAGGATGTAAGAGGTACTGAATATGAAATATGTAATTCACAGTGTTTCACCCACACCTCAGCCATTTCTGTTCACTTTCCCTTTCCTTACCGCTGCACCTATGTGCTTTCTAGGAGGACCTGTATTATTTGATATGTTTGTGTGCATGGTGCATGCATGGACCATCATTTTTGACACATTTTGACAATGTGGGATTGAGAGCATGTGTTTAGCAAAATCCTGTGACCCAAATTACCCGCAAAACGCCCGCAAAAATCCCGCAAACGCGCGCAAAAACTGTCAAACGCGCGCAAATCCTGATTTCTGGTCACTTTGGGTAATTTGAGTTGTTTTGCAAAGGACGCATTTTTGACCATGTTTGAAGGACAATGAGTTCAATCGCTCTCATGCCCATTCTGTCTGTTTGGGTTTACCAATTAAGCAGCAGGCCTTGCAACCCAGGACTGAACCACTATTTTGGATTGATGGTTTCCAGATGGGGCAATCATGATGCCCACAACCTGTTTCTCCAAAGATCGCCTTGTTTTCATTTTATGACTTCAAATCGCTGCGTTTTTCTATGAAACGCCTCATTACCTTAAACGCCTAGAATTTTCCATGCAATGGAAGCTTGAGGAATATAAAATATATTTTTTTGAAACACACACACATATATATATAAAAATGAGCTCACATGCATGTATAGGGAATGCTCGAGGAAATCTGCCCGCACCGAAGGCGCCAAAGCCTGATCGTTTAGCAGCGAGGGATACGAACAGATCCCCCGAACGGGACTGTGGCAATTTGCGCATTTTGCAGATCGGCCCAACATCCTCCAGATGCACCGTTTCGACCCCACATGTCCGCAACATCGGCTCAACTTGGGGCCACCATTGGCCAACAAGGCCCCAACTTGGGCCCAACCCGGACCCACTTGACTCCAACTTCGCACCAACTTGGGTCCAACATGCCGCAACTTGGCCCCAAATTGAATCCGTTTGGGAGCAACTTCGGCCCAAGTTGAGGTCCGCATGGCTTCAAAATGGGGACATGGCCCGTGAATAGGAAAGCTTCAAAACGCCCGTTTTCATTGGTATTTCCCACGTTTTGGCATCGATGACACGTATGTTGAGCAATGTTCCCCAATGTTGTGTCTCCATTGGACCGCACTTCGAGCAAAGCTGACACCAAAGGGCCCCAAGCCCGGATCAATTATATGAATTCGTAGTCGTTCAGAGATTCAAGCCGTTTTTTCTACAAAAATCGCTTTGTGGATGCAAATCAAAACAAACATGTCCCGCAGGCTTGTTTAGACTGCAGGCGTTGTGGTGGAGTAGATGATAAGGTCTTCATGTGTCTTCAATGTTTTTAATTCCGGTTGAATGTGAGATGATTCCTCACGGCAAGCCATTGAGCGTTCCACTTTCCGTGACCAGGAGGAGCTGCAGATGCAACTGGCTTTGCATCAACCAATGCTCGAGGCCTCGCTGCCGCCAGGTCAACGCCCCCATCATGCGAGAAATCTTGTTGAGCCCGTTGTTCGATGTATTTTGATGTTCTTCATTGATTTCTTGTGACCATGTTTGACCCATATTACCGTCAACCTCCTCAAAACTTTGGAATGATGACTAGTCGAAGTCAGTGGACCCTAGGCCTTTACCAACTCTGTCACATCCCGCATTGAGATGGAAGCATTGGAAGCGGCCAAAGAATAGTGGGTACTAGCGTGCATATGGTTGTTTGAGCGCCATGTTGGAGTTTGTGGCAGCAGATGGCTGGTGGAAGCGCAAGGGTTTTTGCATCTTGCTTTTTGTGGTGCTTACCAAAATTTGGTGCCCCAGACAACGGGTTGCAAAGCCATCCTTGGCAAAAGCATAGCGGATGCTGCTGCAATGTGTTTCGGGATAGGTTTCAGGCCCCGCCTGCCAGGTGATAGTCTCTAGATTTTAGCAGAGTTACTTGCTCCTTCTCCTTCTCCTTCCCCTTCCTGCCTCAACTGCCAGCTCCAGATCACAGTGGGCACTGCGGGACCTCAACTGCGACCGGCAGATCTGGGCGCCAACTGCGAGCTGCAGATCGCAGGGGGCACTGTGGGTGGGGAGGCCCTCAAGAGGCTGTGGAGTGGCCTGGGACCCGAACACATGCCAGACAGATTGCCAGAGAGAATGCCAGACAGAATGCCAGATACAATGCCAATAGAATGTCAGAATAGATGCCAGATAATTAGAATGCCAGATAGAACATCAGAATAGATGCCAGAGTGTCAGAAGATATGCCAGATAGAGTGCCAGAAAGAGTGTCAAAAGAGATGCCAGATAGAATGCAAGAAAACTGTCAGAAGATATGCCAGATATGATTGCCAGAAAGAATGCGAGAATAGATGCCAGGTAGATTGCAGAAAGAATGTCAGAAGATATGATAGATAGAATGCCGGAAAAACTGTCAGAAGATATGCCAGATACAATGCCGGCAAAACTGTCAAAAGGTATGCCGGATAGAATGCAAGAAAGAATGTCAGAAGATATGCCAGATGGGACTGCGAGTTCCAGATCTTAGTGGGCACTGCCGGACCTCAACTGCGAGCTCCAGATCTCAGTGGACACTGCCGGGCCTCAACCAGGAGGAGGAGGAGGAAGAGGAGGAGAGGACAACTTTGATGAAATTTCGGTATGCTATCAGAAAGATATGCCAGAAAGAATGTCAGAATACATGTCAGAACCATGGCAGACAGGTATGACAGTATTTTGGTCAAGGTGGGTGTCACTCGAAGTAAAATACTTATTTCCTATTAAATTTATGAAATTGAAAATTGTTATTAGTGCCCCTACATGGTTGAATTGCGCATGTGCCGCGCATGTGTCACACAATGGCAATGGGCCCGTCTTTCTGCTTGCAGATTTTTCCACGTGGGGGGATGCCGATCCACATTGCCATCCACCCTGCCGTCCAGCAGCGCTTAAAGGGGCAATCCAAAGTGTTGCTCCGCGCTGGATTCGTGCCTGTTGATGCCACTTACTCAGAGTGCTGGGCACATGCATGTGCGCTTGCACAAGGCATGACAAAACCTTGCACAGCCTGGTTGCCAAGTCTCTCCCATGGCTAAATGGTTTGCTGATGGTTTTGTGTTTTGATTTGAGCAGATCGCTTTGGATCCCAGACTATTGCGGATTCATTGAGGTGCATCGTGGCAATAAAAGGGCTTGCACATGCGCGCCAAAGAGGCTGCTGTGCGTGGGTGGCAGCATGAGCTTTCCCAGAAAGACTGGGAAGCCATGCTTGAGGCCTCAATCGTTTTTTTGGGGCACGGCTGCGGCAGGGCACGAGCAACAGGGCAGAGGAATGATTCGGAATGATTCGGAATGATTCTAAATACAGATAATAACCAGATAATACAGTTTATTCCAACTTGATGCGAAACTGGTTCGAGTTGCTGCAGGAAGCGGAGGGGCCCGAGCCGCGCATCCTGCAGCAGATCAGGGCAATGGCGTGTGGCTGAAATGTGGCTCAAAAGGTTTCGCAGTTGTTGTCGCAACTGAAAGATGATGTGGTGCGTTTGATATTTCAAGGCTGCGCTGCACTGCTGCCAAGATGGTTTGTAGTTGTAATTGTGTCACTGGAGGCTGACAGGAACGCACACGGCCCTGGCTGCAAAGACGGCCATTGCAGCAGGTGCGATCTCCTTTTGAGGCAACTTCTAATATATATATATATATATATATAGATAGATAGATAGATGAATAGATGAATAGATAGATAGAGATAGAGATAGCACGGGGGTAGGTCGGGCCCTCACGCGAACGGTTGCGAACGGCTGCGAACGGTTGCGAACGGTTGCACAACGTCGAGCGAACACACCCTCAACCCCCAGACCCCCAGAGTGAAACAGGAACCCTTGCTACGCATTCGGGGAAAAGTGTAAAAAAGGTGGTTTGACTTGACATCAGGTCTGTGGTGGTTAAGTGCATCTATAGATAGATCAAACGCGCGATTATTTTAAGGAATTGGACCATGACTTCGTCGCCCATTGAGACACCAAATTTCCCACTGCCATTATTCATGCACATGACTGTCTTTATACGCAATGAATTATATAGTTGTGTTTACAATCTTCTGCAGAGCTCATTGAACGCGGACTGCCATGTGAAGCCGAAATTTTGGCCCGAGTTCATCTGTTTCCTCCGCTCGAGTGCCATGCACGGCCTCATTCACGTGATTTTCCGCGGCTTCGTGGTGGACAAGTTCGGCGAGAGTGCTTGGAAGGAAATCCTGAAGATAGCTGGCACTTTGACGGAATTTCTGTGGTGGTTGGAAAAACGACGGCTGGTCCATTCTGTGTCACTTTTTTTTCGTGGGAAAGTTTGTTCTTGCCAAGAATTGTTTCCTACGTTTCCTCTTGGCACATGTAGTGGATTTGTTTGTTTTACAGGTCTTGAAACAAGTGAGGCATTGAAGATGAATCAACGCTTTTTGAGATGAAACATTATGACGATAGCCTCACTATGGCTGCGGTCAAAATTGGTGCAGACGTGGCAGGACATGAACCGGTGACAAAGTTGCGATCATTTGCAAGGTTGCATCTGTGGTCATATTGAAAAATGGTTGGAAGAAGACAGTTGCAAGTTCATGTGATTTGTTGCAATCATTTCGCTGCTTTGGTAAGACACATAAGAAACCATGGCATACCATGACCTTATTCCGTCTAAAACAGATCACAGATCTGTTAACTGAACGCCAGGAGCACCTTTGGACGCTGCTTTGGAACTTTTTGGTAGTTATTTCGTGGACTATGCTGCCGGGGCCGGATTCATCCGATTGCTTCGTTCTTTGGGTCCCCTGGTTGCCGGTGGTTGCCAGGGTTGCTTCATCCATTCTCTGTCCATTATGAAATATGATGAAATGTGATGAAGAAACATATAGCACTGCCTGTGCTCCAGACCATCTTCGTCGTATTCGATCCTGCTAAGGTCCTGATTTGCATCAGTTGTTGAGCAACCTGAACATCTTGCATCACAATGTCGAGAGGCGCCGGTTTTCTTTGTGAGATGAAAATGTGTCATTTTTCTTCACCGTTTAGTCATCATTCAGTTCTGGTCCTGCCGCTTCCTCTTTTCTTTGCTGTTTGACTCAGGGATCTGCCAGCTGCGGTGTTTCCCATCTTTGAGGCGAAGCCGCCCACCAGACCGAAAACAGCACAGGTGTATATGGGTTTGTCTGAAAATAGGGTATATTCCATTATATTCCCAATTATAGCCATTTAATAGGGATAATGATCATTAACCATTGGGTTTAGGGGTACAGTATTTTCAGACACACCCATATTTTTGGGTTTGTTTTAGCCTGATGGTCCAAGTGTGACACTTTGGTATTGCCAGGTAAGCCAAGTGGAGTGGATCAATGACTACAAATACAGATTCAGGCGGTTTTCCGACATTTTCCGGTGAATGATTCGGACAGTTTCTGATGAATGTTGGAATCATGGGCAGGATGGACTATGCCAGCAGCCGAGCAGGTCTTGGTCCTTTGCTGAAAGGTCTCTTTGCGCAGTGGATCAGTGGGTTTGGGCAAAATTCTGGGACCTGCAGGTGGCTGCAGCTTTGGGGTCGTGCTGCAGTATGAATTGTTATTCACCATTCATTTTTGGGGTGCTCAAATGTAACCCAAATGTGATCCGAATGTGTCCGAACTGGAGATGTTCGAAGCCTGAAGTTCCTGAAGCTGTATTAAGGTGCACTTCATCAGGCCACAAACAAGCTCTTCAATTCAACGCTGGAAATATCTGAGCTGAGTGCTTGATCCTGAGATATCCAGCAATAGATATCCAGCAATTTTCATGACATGACATCATATATTATATAATGGGTTTAACAGTGGTTAATGATGGTTAATATAGTGGATTATCTGGTGAATTATGAAATTTCATCATGCACACATGCTTTCTACAAATTCTGGACTCAGGCAGAGGCGTTGAGGAAGATGAGCTTCTTGACTTGACGACACCAGATGATATTCGACTTTGTCCCAGATCCCTTCAAAACACTCAGGTTTTTTACCATCTGCTGAAGCCTCTCATGAGCTCCACTGGAACCTGACAGTGACGATCAACCAGGATCTACATGGATTTTCAACTCCAGCAGCCATGTTTTCAGTTCACAGATGCAGCTGTGGAAGTTGTGGAGGAGAAACCTGACTTCGACGCCACGCCATCAACAACAGCAACATCAGCACCAAGCGCTGCAGAAGCGTCCTTCAGCTTCTTTGATTTTCATTCAGCATTGGCATCAGCGTGGCCAGAAGCTTAACTTGCTCCTTCCCTTTCAGATGGTAGTGAAGCATGAGCATAGCAATTTCAAGGCAATGTTTATAGATATGGAAAAACATGGGAAAATAGTATTGCAGAGCATGCATTTGGTTGTTTACAGTGCCCTGGCACATGCACGCAGTGCGGATGGATTTCAGAAGTTTGAGACATGATCAAGATTTAGTATAGATAGTGGATTTTCAAACGCTTCAAACTCCCTTAAGACAGGGATTTGTTTTGCTCACAGTTTCACCACCTGTCTCTCTCTCTTAACGGTCCTCTTTCTTAGGTGTTGCTGCGCACAGAGTCAGAATGATGAGATCATGGTGACTGTTCCAACTCAGCCAGTTGTCCAGGAGGATTGGGTGAACGATGTCAAGATGGTTTTGGCGGAGAAGCGGAGCAGAATTGAAGGTGTTACGGCAACGTATCCCAGCTCTTCAGATGGCAAACATCAGTATTTCTCAATGAACGCGATGGACCGCATCCGGGTGGGCGCTACACTCTTCAGGCTTGAATTCAGGGAAGGTATTGCTGGGCAGTGGAATATTGAAGCCGGCATTCTGGCAGCGCATGATGCAAATGCATGTGTGTGTGTGTAACATTTGAATAGATGTAAAACTTCTGACCGTCGTCTTGCCTGTTTTCACTCTGATGTTTCTTTCTTGATTTTCACAGCAGGGGCGTCAGGCCCGTCATACCCGTCATACCTACCTGACGCAACGAAGCTATGGTATGATGGGGGAAGGGTGAACTGATCATTCACCTGTACCTGCAGATCTTGGCATGGATGTCGTGGACATAGCTTGCAAGATCACTCTGTCATTTTTTTCATTTCCTGTGATATGGCAACCGGCTAAGCCAAGAACCAGCATGTCGATCATTAGTTTCCAGTTTTCACTGCACTGTTGTCGCAATCTGCTTTTCCTTTTGCAATCGAAGGCAAGGGTCAACTTCCAATTCTCCATTCCTCGTCCTTTCTGGCCAGGTGTAATTGGATTGTTTTTGCACGTAAGATGCATTCCACAACAAAATTCGCAATGACAGTTCTGAGCAAGTGTGTGTAAATGAACATGGTGCATTCAACTGTAGACCCCATTTTGATGACTTAAAAGTCATACATGTCATGTGTTTTTCGCAGATTTCTTAGATGCTACTTAGATGTTACATGTCATTTTGCATATTTTGTCAGGGCCTGCTCAGCTGATTTGGTGTCGTCACCGTGGACGGATCTGCCTGAGATGGAGAAGACGGAATTCTTCTGGGGAGCCTACACCAAACTCGACAACTTTTATGCCATTTCCAAGCTACTTGGAAAAGTACAGTACGTAGGAGATAGATGATATAGATGGAGATAGTAGCCACAGTAGGAGATGAAGAGGTTTGCAACCTTTGCCAGACTGTTTTTTTAAAATATTGTTTTGTTTGGGTTACTAGCAGATATCTCCTTGAATTTGAAAGCAAGGGGATCAAAATAACAAAATGGGCAAATACGATGAGCTTCAACATGCTTCAACAGCTGCAGGGATTGGCTTGTGGAGTCCCAGACGATGAATGGACAGATGAAATTTCACAAGAAGGGCAAGATCCGCTTCCTCTCGCAGTCCTGGGGCATTCCAAAGGCACGGGACAGTGGCACAGGTTGAAGTTTGCAGATGTGCAAAATCTTCTAAGTTGATGCAAATTCAGTGTGAGGATTCAACTCGATACATCGATTCTATAGATGTTACATGATGTCACAGTAACAGAATGTAACAGTGACAAAAAGTGCAAGATCTTTCTTTTTTTTTGGCATCGTCCTTGCTGAATCCCTTCCCTGTCGGACGTGTCGGACGTGTCCGAGCAGGAATGGGATGACCTGATGGGAGCAGGATCCTATGCAGAGGCCAAGGCCGCGGAAATCTGCTGCGTGGCCAAAGACATCGCGGCTCGAGAACTGGGTAGCACCAGCAGGCGCCTGTTTTTTTTCAGCGATGCATCCGATGCATGTTGAATATATCGGAATATATCGGCATATGGCCGATGCAACTGGTGGCAGCCTGGTGGCATAGTCTTAGAATTTAGTGCTTTATAGATTCTTGGATTAACATCATCGGCCAATCTCAGGGTTTTCAGCGAAATCCCTGTTCGCGCAGCTCATCTGTTTGGACGTCTTTTTTCCCACCTCTTTGGCCTTTAAGCTTCTACTCAGGTGGAAAGAGGTACACTTCTGGGTGGACAAATGTTGCATTCCGTCAGCGGCTGAGTACGGACTCACGGACCCGACATCTCCCGGTGTCAAATCCCATTGATCCCATTTTGCAGATCCATCACCCAGCCAGGCAAGGTGATCAGGAGCTCACTGGCTGGTGTGTGAATCTGCTGGAAGAATACATCATTTTCTGTGATGGTTTGGTGGTACTGGTGCCCTGGACCTACTTCACCAGGCAGGGGAACAGCTCAAGTCTAAATGGCATGAAACGCACGAGGTGCGTTTTGAATTTCCACTTGGCAGTCTCCAACACCCTACAACACGCATACGTATCATAGGACGCATATCCCAGAATTGCGAGCCCTTATGACATTTCTGATCCTTCTGATTCCCTGCATGACGAGGCTTTGGTGTGTGTACGAATGGGTTTGCTTCTTGCTGTGCCATGACCCGATGGACATCGAAATTTGCGCCGATCCCTTCGTGCGTGAGAGCACGTTGCCACTCTTCATCGATGCCATCGGCAACTTCAAGCTGTCCAGCTGCCAATGTTTCCGCGAGGCCAGCAGAATGACAGCAGATTTCAACTGTTTGGAGTCCTGAAGTGACACTGTAGTCTTTGATTTTAAAGCTATGCCGCATCTCCCAGTGCTTGGGTATATGACATTAGTTTGTACAGGCAAGCAGGTTCCAAACAAGATTTTGTTGCCGGCTTGCTGCCGTGAATTCAGCTCATGAGACAGGCAGACAGGCCAATTCTCTACAACAAGGTGGATGCATGGCAGAAATCAGAGATTTGCATTGGTAAACGGCTTCACAAACTGCTTCGCAAACTTCAGATTTTCTGACATCCAAGGAGAAATATTACAAGTCCATTGTGACTTGGCGATGAACTTGAGGTCTTCAAATTGTGGTCAACTACACCACCTTTTGGGCTGTGGGTTGATAGGAAATCCTACTAGAAGCCAATTCAATAGCGAAATGCACGTGTGTCCTGCATATTTTCCTTCAGACCGACCCATCGACGTTTCAATTTTTCATGCTTCATATACAGATATATCATACAATATAAATATATATACCAAATATAATAATTGTATCTCTATATATATATTTTTATATATGTAGACTATTTTCTGTAACATGTTTTGCACATACATGTGTCATGTATAATATATATATATACAATTTTAATGATATATATATATATATCGATATATATATATATATCAAATCTATATATCAAATCTATATATCATATCTCATATCATATATATATAGAACATATATATGCCATATATCTCTCCAGATCTCCAGGATTCCTTTGAGAAGTTCCTGAAGTTCACCGCCATCGCTCTCTTCGTGCGTTGCACTGCGCAGCGGCGCTCCGCCAAGGCCGTCTCGGCGTTGGAGCCATGGCGATACCTGGCGGAGCGTCAAGGCGAGTTTTTTTGGGCCACTGAAATCAGTGGTAAATGGGATGAAATCATGGGGAAACCATGGTAAAAATCATGTAAAAATCATGAAAAATGGGGAAACTAGTTGAATTTCCCAATAGTAATAGTAATGGGTAATGATGATGATGATGATGATGATGATGAGGATGAGGATGATGGATGATGGATGATGGATGATGGATGATGTGGATGATGATGGATGATGGATGATGTTGGTGGATTCCTATAAATTATCCCATCATTATGATGATCATGATGTGGTGATTGTGAGGATGAGGATGAAAATGATGACAATGATTATGAATATGACTATGATTATGACGATGAAATCATGGGGAAAAATGTACTTGGGGAAAAAGTATCCCAATCCAAAAGTATCCCAATCCAGTGGTAAATGGCGAAAAGACACTATTGACTATTGATACTTTTTCATATAGGGATAAAATGGGGAAACTATATGGAAAAACTATTTTGTCCCATGATTTTCCCATTAATCATGGGGAAACTATTTGAAAAAACTATTTATGGGAAAAAAGTATGGAGAAAACTGAATAAACATGGATAAACATGCTGGATCCGAAGATCCTAGCTGATATTGAATAGCCAGAATGGGTGAGAAATTGACGTTTGAAAGATATGGATAGAAAATCCAGTGGTGTATCATCATGTTCTTCATTGAAATTGCCATAGCTCTGGGTATATCACTCTGTACAATCCCTTGTTAGACTCGCCCTGGAGTGTTGTTTCACCTTGGCCCACCTTGGGCCACCGCTATTGGGGTCAGGCTTTAGCGCCCTTGCCGACCGCATTTCAGAGATGATGCCGCAATCTCAGGTCTTTCTGATGGGAAACGATAGGTTTCTGATAGGACTCCTATAGGACAACGTCCATGACCTGCCTGAAGTCCAATGTTGCAATTTAGAGCTCTGTTTTGTCGACCCGGGGCTGTTGTTTTGGTTCACAACCGTAGCAGTGCATTCAAAAGCAAGTCTGAATTCTTGTCTTGAAAGAGACACATGAGCGTTGTTGCAGTTTCCAGTCCCTTGTGTCATTTTGTGTCATTGTTCCAGCATTCAAGTCCAGACTTTGCTTGAGAATCTTCTACGGCAATGCTTCACGGCTTCACGGTTTTTCACTCGTTTTCCACTCGCCCCGTTTCTAGTAATCAAGCGGTTGTTTTTTTTTTGTGACTCCGGTTGACGCATGCAATGTTGAGGAACATGAGCCACAAGTTCTCTATATCATGGAAAACGAAGAGAACATGTTATGGACACCACGGCAGAGAAACGCTACAGACAAGAAACAGAAGCTCAAACAAAAGGAAATTGAGTAGAGGAGAGGAAAGCACAGAAACAAAATCGAGAAGACAAACAGACAGTTGAAAGGAGCACACAGATGGAATGGGGATGAAAGAAACATGTCAAGGGTTGATGAAGGGAAGTGGAGGAATGCCTGGGATGCAAGAGAAACATGGAGAAACTCATGGAAATTGGGACCTGAAAGGGATGAAAAACAGAAGATACAAACAGTCACAAAAAGGATCAAAAGGGAAAGCTGCAGCATTTTAAAAGATGTTTAAACGTACACCTGTACACTGGGCAGGAGATGTATAGGACATGTGTCATGACATCCTTGACACCCCTTCTCATGTACTGTGCTTCTTTGGGGGCTTTGGCTTAGGGCCTGGGGCCTGACTTAGCAAATTCATCTGAAATTGAGGTCCAAAAAAGGAAGTAATGCACCAGTTCAATCAAGATGTCTGGTAGATGTGTCAGATGTCCCATGTTCGAAAGCTTTTCGAAAGTTGCCGGTGTTCTCCAGTTTGACTCGTGCTGGGAGTCTACCGGCAGCAGATAGATCGAGTATACTTACAGAACTTTCTATCAAACAAAACACACAAAAACACAATTTCCGTTGATTTGCGGAGAATTTTCTTGGAATTTTTGCCAGCTGACGGAAAACTCATGGCGAGTGAGGCAAAAGCTGCCGGAGTGGCGTGAGGGAGCTGTGAAGAGTGCCACTGGCGGCGGGACAAATGATGTGCAAACGGCAGTCTTGCAGCAAGTTGAAGCATCTTGCCACAATTCCTCCACACAATTTCCTCCACAATTTCCTCCACAATTTCTATCAATTTCTTGGAGATGAAAAAAATGAAATTCAAGCGCCCTGTAAAAATTGGCTGATCGTGATGCTTCGTCTATTTCTGTAGTCATTTGTTCTCAGTACCTGAGGAATGGTTCAAGGCCAAGATGGTTCCAATGATCGTGCAGATGAGAAAGGTCACTCTGGGATGTCTGGATTTGTTGCAAAATGTGGTAATTTGATGTTTGAATTGCCACAGACAATCTTGCAGGAGTCCGCCACCGAGAGCGGTCTGAAGTTCATTGAGGAGCTTCGAAAAGCTGCGAAAGAAGTAGTTTTCCAGGTTCAGAGCTCAAGATGTTGGCTGTTTTTTTGAAGCTCAACGTTGGTTGGACGTCTGGCGAAAACATCTAAATATTGGCAGAATTTTCGAGCGAACTTGGCTGGTAGCGATACTTAGGAGAATGCCTGTGAGCCAATCGAGGACATCCAGCGGATCGAAAATCCATACCATATACCATGATGTATACTGTACCCAAAGTCCCAAAGTTGATCATTATTTTCCGAATATGTTCATCATTACATTGCCATAAATTGTGTGTGTAATTCAGGTTATCAGTCGAAAGCTTCCCCTTGTTTTGCGTCCTAGTTTGAGAACATGTTGCAAAGCTAAATGTTCCACATGAGCCAGGAAGCAGATCTCTGATGACTCATCAAAAAGTGGTTGTTGTGTATGCCTGCCATTGATGGATTTCCCATCTGAATTTCATTTGAAATTCCATATTTTCGATGTTCAGTTTCCATGCACGGCAGATTGGGACTTGCAGCAAAGCTGTGTTAAAGGTCCCGAAGGATTTTCCTATACCGACTGCGAGACTTTGCTCTCTGAAGCAAAGATCTCGTTGCCTTTGGAGGAGTGTGCAATTCGTATTGTCCAAGACGATTCGATGTGCACTTCTTTTTTTTTGGCTCAGAGATAATTCTCTTTGCATTTTTGCTGCTTAATTTTCTGGGATACCTCCCCCTGGAGTGACACAGATGGCAATATTAGTTCTGGAACAAGTTCGGAGATTGCCAAAATCTTTGAAGGATGGCAGCTGGCCTGCCTATTTTTGCTGACGCCAAATCCTTTGGATTTAGATCTTGTATTGGTGTGTTTTGCAAGATCTGAGTTGCTCAGAGATGCCAAAGCAACTCTTTGAGCCGTCTATGATGTGTGTTCAGGACGCGTTCAAAAAACTCATGCGCGTTTGGAGCATGAATATGCTTGAATTCAATATCCGTTTCTGAAACAGATTTTTCAGATTCGTTCAGACCGTGCTCAATCCTGCGGCTGGCCACTTTTTGGCTGAGCTGTAGAGTCTCCCCTGCATTTCTGGGTCAAGTATCACCTTGCGAAGGCCCCTCTGCCGTATGGATCTCTGTGGATGCGAGGATGTACCAGCGGTGTGTGAAACTTTGTTCGTTTGGTGATCGCCTTCCTTTCTCTTGTGATTCTTGGCTGTTGCCCAGCATGCAGGATGCAAACAGGTCACGTTTTACTTTCCCAGTGCTAACATTGGTCCTGGAATGGAGAGTTTTCTGTGTCATTGAATTGTTTGACGAAATTTCCTCAAACCAAACACTGGTGTTTCCAAAAACAACCTGACATTGTCACCAGCATCTGGATTTTGGCAGGGCCGCAGAATGACCCATTCCAAGAAGCCACCATGTCTCCTCTCCGCTGAGGCTTTGGCAAGTCTTTCAATCATGGTGTGTCCTAGGTTTCATATCTTTGATGGCACAGCATGGCTTTGTAGGAGCAAAGTGTCTGCTTCTTTCAATTTTTTTGGCTTTAAGTGAATGGTTTGCATTTACAACCGTTACAATCGAATTCAAACGCTCAGTTTTCCAATGTCAATCTCAATTGGTGAATCCATTTGATTCTTCAATTTTTGGTTGCCTCCATCCACAACTTTCAATCGGAACTCTGGTGTGCATGACCAGGGGAGGAAATGATTATTTGGCACCCAGCCAGTTGCATCCAGCCAGTCTGGAAAGTTGGCCCGTTTTGAGAACCATCATTGGACTTTAAGAAGTGACCAGTTTTCTATAGTTTTCGTTTCTAAACATTCACCTGGGCAACATTTTAAAAGGAATGTCAGAAAGGATGTCAGATAGAATGCAACATGAAATGAACGTCACAAAACAGATAGAATGCCGGATAAAGGTATATCATAAATTATCATAATATGCATCAGCTAAAATGTCGGAATGTGTCGGAATGCATGCATGCCAAATAAACAGATCAAAATGCCAGAAAGAATGCCTGATAGAATGCCTGATAGAATGCCAGAACAAATGCCGGAAAGAAGGCAAAATAAAACATCAGATAGGTGAGTGCCAGAAAGGCTGCCTGGTAAAACATCAGATGCCCAATCAAATGCCAGGAAGAATGGCAATAAAACGTCAGGTCAATGACAGATTTAATGCCAGATAAGAAATGTCAGAAAAACGGTAGATAGAATGTTGGAATGATTGCCAGGAAATTGTCAGCCAGAATGCCGATAGAACATCGGAAGAGATCTGAATACATCTCAGTCAGAATGTCTGACTGTCCGTGTCCCTCAAACATGTCAGACAGAAAGCCAGATAAAATTAGACATAGAATGTCAGAAGACGCAGATGGAATGCCACATAGGATGTCAGTTCAATTGTCAGAGAGAATGCCAGACCAAATGCCTGAAAGAATGTCAGGTAAAGATAGGACGCAATCAAATCCACTAAGAATGTCAAATCAGTTTTTAGATAGGATGCCAGATAGAAGGCCAGAACATGCGTCGGCTAAAATGTCGGAATATACGTCAGCCAAAATGTTGGACTGTATGTCCATCAAATGTCACATAGAATGCCAGAAGGAATGTCAGATCAAACGTCAGGTAGAATGCCAAGAAGAGCGTCATTAAAAACGTCAGTTAAAATGCCAAAAACGGAAAGAATGTCAGTGAAAACGTCAGATAAGATGCCAGATGAAATGCAAGATAAATGGAGGAATGACTGCCAGATCAAAATTAAATAGTATTAAATGTCCCATAGAATACCTAATGAAATGCCAGATAGAACGCCAGAAGAAATGTCAGATAGAATGCCAGATAAAATCTCAGTTAAAATGTCAGGATATATGTGATCGAGACTCTATAGCACATTGTCAGTTGGGGATCACTCGAAGGGCTGCCATTGAGGCCACAAGCAAGTCCAACCATCGAAATACGGGAGTGCAATGATCATTTAGCACTTGAGACGGGTTGATAGGTCACTATCTTTACACCGGGGACACCAAAAAGGACCAAACTTAGTCATTAGAACATAAATGAACATCATCGTAAATTTCGTCAATACATGCAAATATGGTTGTGTCTGAAAATAAAGGATATTCCAAGTTATAGCAGTTTTCCTGCAGTGGGTTTTTGCTTTTGAGACACGCCCAACGGGGGGCATCATTAAAGGCCGATGGATAAGGTCCCAACCTTTGTTGCAATCTGTCAGGTTGTCCAACGACGAAAGCAGCTAGTGGCTGTCACTCCTGCCTGGGCCCTGTTTCCAGCGGACACCTTTTGTGGGTTTTTCTCCATGTTTCCCTTACTGTGGTAGTTGTTCCTTCTTCAGCCTCGTTTTTTTTCAGGTTGTTTTCGCTCCTGTTTTTTGGGGTTACACATGGTTTTCTAATCCCCCCAAAAAAATCCACTCCATTATCAGGACCCCCGGGGGTCCGCCAAAACCATTTTTTTGGACAGCCTAAGTGCCTGCAAGGATATGCAATTACAGGTTCCTGATTTTTGGAGAGGGAACATGTTGTAGTTGGCTGAAACTGTAGGTTCCTCATTCTGTAGAGGTTTTGGGGTGTGTCAACATTCATGTGCATAAATATATACAAAATTGATTTTTGTAAATTTCAGGGTTTTCAGGGGAGACCAGGGTTCTTTCACATCACCCCTCTACAAAATGGATCTTTGTATTTTTGAGGGCTTACTTTATTCCAAGTAGCAATTCTGCTCAAATGTGTGCTCATGTCAGATTCCCCACTTTGTAGAGGTCAGTGGTTCTGAAAATCACAAAAGTGCACCAAAAAAAAGGGGGTTGGGTGCCCTGATTTTGTAGAGAAAACCCCTTGCTAGATTTGTGGCAGGTTCCTCATTCTGTAGAGCCCTGGCGCCCCAAACGCCAGATTTGGCTCTACAAAATTTGGCTTAGCATCTTTTTCGACACCGCTAGTTCGTCTCAATGGACAGGGTTTTTGTTCAGTCTCTCATTCCAAAGGTTCAAAGTTTTGCAAGTCACATTGATTGAATCTGACGTGTGCAGCTTGTTCACTCCTTAGAGTATGCAGTTGTTGTCATTAGTTTTTCTTACACAAGTGACAGTGACCCTGTAATGCCGCCATGAGAGCAAAGCAACGGAAACGAGGCAAGCGATGTCTATATGTGCTGTTCGTATGTTTATGCTTCCATGTGCTTGTTAGACAGCTGCCAAGAAATTCACCTTAACAGGCTGGGTCATTTTGGCTACAGCGTGGCTTGTCTCCGGGCTTGTTGCCTCACCCTTAGTTGACAGTGGATCCTAAGGTAGGGTTGCAACTCACTTCTTTTTGAGTCCATGCATTGGGTCCCGCATTTGTGCCTTAAGGTGAGCCCCAGATCTTTCTGTTCGCAAAAGCCTAGTCAGATACACGGTTTGGGACCTTTGCATGCAGCACCAAACAAGGACCATACAAAGGGAAGAACCGTTGCACCCAACTCACAGACGTCTTGCGTTTCGTGCACGTCAGGCAAACTTAAAGGTTTGTTTTTTTGCGCACCATCGTATGCTTTTTCCATGTGGTTCGGTGCAAGACCCACAAGGAATCAAGCCAGTCGAGGAGATGGGCTAGTTGACGTCCCCAAAAATGTGCTGACTTGAAGAAATGTGACCCAAGCATAGCGCAATAATTCCTATGTTCCCATTCCGCTCTGCTTGGTGACCTTCCGACGAATGAACTTTTGCCATGGAATTTGTAACAGACAACTGAGTCAGAGTGCTTTCATAGCGCCTTTTTTTTCAGCCCGTAGGAATCGGCAGATGAGGCACGCGGCTGTGAGCCAATTGAATTCCCGGTTTTTCACAAAAAGCACCTTCACTTTGTCCAATTGAAAGCCATTGCTTCACGTTTCGTCTTCAAAGCCTAAACCTCTTCTTTCAAACAACTTTGCTTGTGCTTCGAAGATTCCCTGCAACATGTCACACATGTGACGTGATTGCTCCAAACCTGTCATCTAGTGTCCAGTTTTGCTTCTTCTAACCGAAGGAAACAGAAGAAAGACAGGGAAGTCATCAGAGTTATGTGCTGTTTGCAACAGACTGCGCTCAGACTGCACATGAAGCCAAGAAGATCAATTCTATTTGAGACGTTCTAGGTAGTTTTCATATTCTCATTTCCCTTTGGTTCTCATTTCCCGGTTTGTCTTCATATTTAATTGTTGTTCCCCAAAAACTGGCTCCGCTATGAGCACCTGTGACAGGTTGACGCGTTGACTTTGCCACAACGTCAGCTGCAACTTGCTGTGGACCAGCAAGCAACTGCGCAAGCGCAAGTAAACAGTGCGCAAGCGCAGGTAGACATGGCTGTGGAGGACTTGCGAACAGCCAAAGCAACAGGAGATGAGCAGAAGGTGAAAGAGGCGGAGGTGAAAGTGAAAGAGGCGAAGCAGGAGGTGAAAGACGCGGAGGGGAAGGTGGAAACGGCGGAGGCGAAGGTGAAAGAGGCGAAGGAGGAGATGAAAGCCCAGCAGGAGAAGTCCATTCGCTGCAGGGTCACAGTTCTCCCGAAAGATGCAAAAATAGATGAAAGCTACTTCACATATCTTCACATTCTATCATTCAAACAGTTCTTCAGTGAATACCCTCAGTATGCCTCCAAAAGATGAATGAATCCCACAAGGTAAACAAAAGGATGGCACGCGGGATTGAAAGAACCAGAGTGAATATCACTTAACAGACTGACAGACTTAAGACGACATCTTAACACTGGAGATGTTCTCTTGCTCCAGGTGCCAGGCTTCCAGTCTCTCACTGAGCTTCTTGGAGGGCTGCTTTTTCCCGATGCCGTGCCGCTGAAGGACAGAAAGGCCACGTACACTTCAGCTTCTTCATACATTGTCAACTTGGACAGTGGTCCGTTCAACGGGAGACTGGCCCTGCAAAACAATAGGTCGCAGGCACGGCTTTTAGATCGTGAACTGGAGGTTGACCTTATTGTGCAGGAGTTGCTGAAACGATCAAATGATTTGAAAGGCCAAACTGCTTCGGACAAATCTTTCTCCCCAGCCTTCCTAGTGGCACAGGCACCTGGAGCAGGCAAGAGCCATTTTTTGGCTCTCCTCGGAGAGCAGATTCCGATTCTGTACGACCTGGATGGCAAAAAGGAGACACCGATCGTCTCGGCATTCACCTACAACTCAAAAATGACCGTAGACATAGACAATCTCAAGGCTGACTTGGCCTTGCGGGTACTTTATGGTGCCACAAGGCACATGAGCAGGACAACGTGCGAGTGGCGTGACTTCTTAAAAACATGGAAGTCTCGCGAGATTGACTCGATTGACGTCGATTTAGCTGTGGAAATCCTGCGAGCATGGTACGGTGACCGTCCTGTTGTGATCCTGGCTGATGAGCTGGGAAAGTCGAAGGACGAGGCTCTGGTGCGCCAGGAGCTTTGCAGAACTATGGACACTTGGGGAGGCCAAGTCTTTGTGGTGATGTCCAGTCTCACCAACTACAAAGCAGTTGTGGAGATGTTCGAGCGCAGCCAGCGACGGCTCTACATTTTCACTTTGGGAGTGCTGGGTACTCAGGCCAATGACCTTCTATTCCAGACGCTCCGTCAACTGCCTCAGAATAGACGTATCAGGAAGGGGATCCTGGAGTACCGAATTTCGCTGGCGTGGGGAGCTACTGGCGGCTATGCGCGGGCCATTGAGCTGTTGTCTGAATATATCAGAAAGCAGCCCGGAGGTCTTGAAGCTGGAGTCGTCGGCCAGGCCACAACGCACCTCTCTTCTTGCAATGTCTTACCGTCAAGGTTTTCCACGAAGGAGCTGGAGACGGTACTCGAGATGTGGGAGCAAGAAGATTGCCCCTTTCAGACTTTGAATGACATTACAGAGAAGATGCCTGCAGCCACTTATAAAGGAAGTGTGCTAGTAGACTCGCTAACGAAGAAGGGAATGCAAGTCAGATACCTGCCAACTGTTGCTCCGTGGCATGCAGCCAGGTTGTTCACTTCGAAGCCGCCAAGTTTTGGCCGAAAGAAGAGATGTGCCAAACTCATGGGTTTGGCTGGCAGCGCTTACCTTCAAAAGGTCCAGGCCATTGAGAGTCCTGAGAGCAATGAAGCCGCCATGCGACAAACCAGCTCGTACTTCACTGAGGTTGTGGCGGCTTTTGCTGTCATGTTTGCCATTGTGAAAAAGTACAAGAAGCTGCCGCAAGTTCTGAGAGAGAGTGAGAGCGCATGCGATAGCATTTGCAGCATCGGCTTCAATGTTTCGCTCTCGCAGAAGAAGGAACTTGCCACGCAAAGCCCGGCAGATGCAGATGAGAAATTAGTGTCATTTTTGAAAAAAGCCATGGATTTGAGCAAACAGCTTGGCAAGCAGGAATCGTTATTAGTCATCATGGCTCCGCCCAACTGCAAGGCCGTTGACTTTCTCATCTTCTGCCAAAAGAATAACCGTTTTGTGGCTGCTCAGGTGAAATCAAATAAAGTGACCGAGGCCACAGCCCAGAATGCACAAAAGACAGCGTTGCTGAAAGCAGCGAAGGACATCAGATCTGCCAGCAACTCCCAGCCTGTGGCCTTCCTTGCTATAGTCGGCTCCAACTACACAGAAACGGAGGACTTGAAGGCTGACACGGACTTTTTTTGTTTGCAGCAAGAGGATCTCGTTGCCCTCATCCCACCCTTCCTGCGACAACTCTCGGGTTTGGCTGCAGGGGTGCAAGGCGTGGAAGGTGAGGATGCGTGAGTAGAAAAAGATGGAAACAAATCCAAAGCAGATCTAAAAATATTGAAACATGCTGTTGCCATATGCAATGCAGCTACACTGTGCTTGGCTTAGCATTGTTCCCAGTCTTGTCCCACTTTGGGGTTCTTGTTCCCACTTTGTTCCCTGTTCCCACTTGGTTCCCACTTTGTTCCCACTTTGTTTCCAGTCTTGCCCCACTTTGGGGTTCTTGTTCCCACTTTGTTCCCACTTTGTTCCCAGTCTTGTCCCACTTTGGCGTTCTTGTTCCCACTTTGTTCCCAATCTTGTCCCACTTTGGGGTTCTTGTTCCCACTTTGTTTCCCACTTTGTTCCCAGTCTTGCCCCACTTTGGGGTTCTTGTTCCCACTTTGTTCCCACTTTGTTCCCAGTCTTGTCCCACTTTGGGGTTCTTGTTCCCACTTTGTTCCCACTTTGTTCCCAGTCTTGTCCCACTTGGGGGTTCTTGTTCCCACTTTGTTTCCCACTTTGTTCCCAGTCTTGTCCCACTTTGGGGTTCTTGTTCTCCACTTTGTTCCCACTTTGTTCCCAATCTTGTCCCACTTTGGAGTTCTTGTTCCCACTTTGTTCCCACTTTGTTCCCACTTTGTTCCCACTTTGTTCCCAGTCTTATCCCACTTTGGGGTTCTTGTTCCCACTTTGTTCCCAGTCTTGTCCCACTTTGGGGTTCTTGTTCCCACTTTGTTCCCACTTTGTTCCCAGTCTTGTCCCACTTTGGGGTTCTTGTTCCCACTTTTTTCCCGCTTTGTTCCCAGTCTTGTCCCACTTTGGGTTTCTTGTTCCCACTTTGTTCCCACTTTGTTCCCAGTCTTGTCCCACTTTGGCGTTCTTGTTCCCACTTTGTTCCCAGTCTTGTCCCACTTTGGGGTTCTTGTTCCCACTTTGTTCCCAGTCTTGTCCCACTTTGGGGTTCTTGTTCCCACTTTGTTCCCAGTCTTGTCCCACTTTGGGGTTCTTGTTCCCACTTTGTTCCCATTTTGTTCCCACTTTGTTCCCACTTTGGTGTTCTTGTTCCCACTTTGTTCCCACTTTGTTCAGTCTTGTCCCACTTTGGGGTTCTTGTTCCCACTTTGTTCCCACTTTGCACCCATTGCACCCTCCTTCAAGACTATTGCGTTCTGCAGCTGTTGAGCTTCAAAATGTTCGTGAGGTTCTTCAGATGAATGTCCAAAAGTTACGGAAGCAACCTGCCCCAAATAGCTATGGAGAAACAGGACATTCAATATGTTGCAAATGCAAACTATTCACTTTAGGACATTCTTCCATTTTCCTGAGCAGCCGTTGTCCACCATGCCAGCTAAAAAGCGCATGAAGCTCGAGATGTCGCCTGAGCCGTCGCAGACCATATATTCATCACAAGCATCCATTGCACCAAGTTCGCAAAGTTCACAGACATTCTTGACCCAAGACTTCGATCAACTGGGTTTTGGTGATGGACTTGATGGCGCTTTTGATGAGGCAGTCACTGGAAGAGACTCACTTTGCAAGAGCGAAGACTATGAATTGGTGAAATGTGATGAAGATGAAGGGGTGGACAATGTAGCCGAAGGGGACATGACTTGTGGTGACCCAGCGCAGCTTGCCAGCTACAGCCCATTCCTGGCTCGCAACCGAGACTTCTACGGATTGGCAGTCAGTTTGATGCGCTTGCAGGGCATAGACTTGCGCAGATTCCCACCGACGACTAAAGGAGTCGTGAGAGAGTTCTTCCAGCGGTACCATCCCTTTGCAAATCAGGACCTTCTGTGGTCTCTGTCTTTTGAGGAAGAGAGCGGGTCTGGACCGCGTACAAAATACAGAGCAACCCTCACAATACATGTGCTGAATGACCGAAAATTTCAGGGGAAAATGTCGTCCACCAGCATGCACCTTGCTGAGGAATCAGAGGTGATAGCCTTCCGTGAGGATCCAGAAGTGCGAGAAATTGCGAAGGTGCTTCCGCCGCCGCGGAAAAAGATCAAAGAATGGGTGCACCTGAACAGCCAGGAAAGGGAGAGGTTGGTGGCTGCGGGCTTCGACACCAGCATTATTCTCACGGAATTTGTGCAGAGTGTTTACATGCATTTCCGAGAGTTGGGGTGCAGAACTGCGCTCTGGGATGGCAATGCATAATTTTTGCCCTGTATCGTGCTTAAAGCAGAACCAAGAGCACAGAATAGGTCAAGTAGGGAACGAGTATAACGGCTTTCGCAACAGTTCGAAAAGTTCTGCCTAATTACTTTGTTTTGACATTCAAAGCACTTCAGTCAAGCCGAATCCACTTGCCCTATACCTGCCGTGGTTGTTTGTGTGCGATTGATTTCCTTTTCTTCGCCTTTCCTCCCCCGTTTACTTTTGCTGCAGGTGTTCGGAGCAGGAAGTGGCAGAAATTTACGTCGTTTGGGCCTGAGATCAAGTTCTTTGCAGATGTTTCCGCCTTTTCAAAATGGGGTAAAGGAAAAGGAGAAAACATCTTACATGTATTTACATTTTGGATTTGGGCCAAGCATTCATGAAAATATATTCCCGGAAGAGCATTGGATACTAATCTCAGGGTTTGTCTTTGTAAAGATGTCGCTTTAGAGAGCGTCACTCTTATTTTGGAAGGAGTGCATCCAAACAAAAAAGCCAGCAATCAATGCAGAGCTGCAAAGTGGATGCCAGTGACTGTGGCATACGCTTCACTTTGCTAGATGATGATTGCTGTACACCTGACACGTTTGTGAATTCGTACAGCTCATGTCCGCCTATCGATACACATTTGCAATGAATTTCAATACCTATGGAATGTGCTGGAATACCGCACATGTTGGCATCTAATGTGCGTAGGACGTAGGGGGGTTCCACGTTTTTCAAGTTTCAACTAATTGCCCTGTAGTTGTCCGAGGCAATTTGGGGCATACGACCCAGGATGATGACAGCTCTGGCTTGGATCCCAGCCCAACAGAACAATCCGCGTGTGGACAGTGTTTGAGATCCGCGTGTTTTTTTTAGCTGCTTCCATTCTTCTTGTCCTTTCCTATCTCTTCTGACTTTGGGTTTCAACGTCCATGATGTCCATGGAATTTCTTTGATTTCTTTGAAGTTGTGATTCTCACGAAAAGTTCCCGAAGTCATGTTCCATATGTTTGATCCCAACTCAATTCTTTGAGCTGAATTTCCCAAAAAACTGGTCTGTGGGTTAGTTGTCGCTAATCTTGTTCAGTGAGCTGGGATGCCCATGCGCCCATGGGAAGGTTTCCACCTGGTGAGAGGATAAATCAGGGTAAATCGAAGACAAAATAGTTTCATGCAAACACGATCTGGATGTGTTTCCGAGATGTCTCAAAGGTATTTCAAAGGTTACATTCGTTTGAAGTCAATGCGGGTGACGCGTTCAGAGATGGCCATGTTCATCTGCCCAGGGAGCGCTGGCGGAATGCTTCCCTCCAGTTGATGCCCGGAAGACACGATTTGCACCGACATCTGGGTGATGCATTCACGGTCCAGCTTCCTTTGTGGGTGAGATGCGCTCCCAAGCAGCCCGTCTCACATAGGTTTGCCGTTTGCCTAAAAACTCGTGGTATATCATGGCATATCATAATGTTCAAATCAGAATTGTAGAGCTTCACACACCGGCGACGCCTGTAGGGAATGGGGGAGGGAAAGAGAGAGGGGGATGTCATCTGAACTTGCGAACATGACATGCTGAGGGTCGGCAGCCTATCTTGGGGCTATGTTGGCCCAGCTTGGGGCTATGTTGGCCCATCTTGAGGCTATGTTGGCGTATGCCTATGCGCACAAAGTGCTGTAATTTGCAGCATTTTGCGTTGCCAGATGGCAAGAACCCGCGTAAAGACCACAGTTTTAGTCCCCGAAAGTGGCTAAAACACTGTTATTTACAGGGTTTCGTTCACGTCACGATCTTCGATTTTTTTAAAAACGCGTAAATACCAGCATTTTTTGCGTTCATCAACGCAAAAGATCGGCTCAAAAAGGGAAGAAAATGCTGTAATTTACAGGGGTTTGGCGCCGCCACGGGCAAAAAACTGCGTAAATACCAGCGTTTCGGCGTCCAAAAGTGGCCAAAACACCGCTATTTACAGTGTTTCGTGCCTTCCACGTTTTCTTGAAATTGCAAAAACCCTGTGAAGACCATCATTTTTTGCGATCAACCCGCCAAAAATGCTGTAATTTACAGTGTTTTTTTGCTGTGCTTTCAAAAACACTGGTATTTGCAGTGTTTTGTGCATCTCGGGTCCAAAAAGTATTGGTATTTACAGCATTTTCTGCGTTTTTGCATGGCTCCCGCCAACGACGTTAAAACGCAAACATGTTGTAATTTACAGCATTTTGTGACTTCCAAAAAGCGAAAAATCGTCCGAAAAATGTGTCAAAACGCCATTTTTTTCCGATTTTAGGACCTCCAAAACGCACCTTCAAATTTCACCCTCTTTTTGTCCACCCCAGACCCCGAAAAACGTGAAAACCCCAGCAGGCTGAAGGATTTCAGGGGAGGGTCGGCGGCAGGGGCGCACCCCCGGGTAGCTAAAGCTATGCTTAGCTTGACACACTACACGGCGAGGCGTCGCCGGATTTTAAGGGCTGACGCCCCTGGTCGGCTCCGCCGGATTTCTCGACCCTCCATTTCATCGCAGTGTGGGCTTGAAAGCTTTTGGATGGGGACCTGCTTCAGAAATATATTCCTTATGTTTTTTGAAAAAAGTTCATGGAATAGGAACTTTGTTGGAAATAGACGGCTTTTTTGGGGAGCAAGTGAGTTCCCGAAAGCTCCTGCCAAGGGTTTTTCCCGAAGAACTGCTGCCAATTTCAACTTGTTACTTCGTGTAAAGGCGCCTCTGTGCAAAGACTTCTCTGTGTAAAAGCTTTTGTGTGTAAAAGTTTCTGTGTGTAAAAACCACTTTGTGTAAAGACTTCTTTGTGTAAAAGCTTCTGTGTGTGAAAGCTTCTCTGTGTGAAACGTCTGTGTAAAGATTTCACTGTGTGTAAAAGCTTCCGTGTGTAAAAACTCTCTGTGTAAAGTGTAAAGGCTTCTCTGTGTAAAAGCTTTTGTGTGTAAACGCGTCTGTGTGTGAAAGCTATATATCTGTGTAAAGACTTCTTTGTGAAACAGCTTCTGTGTGTAAAGGCTCCTAGACGTTTGTGTGCAAAAGCTCCTTAGCGTAAAGACTTCTCTGTGTAAAACCTTCTGTGTGTAAAAAGCTCCTTTGTGTAAAGACTTCTCTGTGTAAAAGCCCCTGTGTGTGTAAATGCTTTTGTGTGTAAAAGCTCCTCTGTGTAAAGGCTTCTCTGTGTAAAAGCTTCTGTGTGCAAACGCGTCTGTGTGTAAAAACTCTCTCTGTCAGTCAGGCCTTCTTCGTGTAAAAAGTTTTGTGTGAAAAAGCTCCTAGACGTTTGTGTGCACAAGCTCCTTGGAGTAAAGACTTCTCCGTGCAAAACCTTCTGTGTGTAAAAAGTTCCTTTGTGTAAGGACTTCTCTGTGTAAAAGCACCTGTGTGTGTAAAAGCTTGCTGTGTGTAAATGCTTTTGTGTGTAAAAGCTCCTCTGTGTGAAGGCTTCTCTGTGTAAAAGCTTCTGTGTGCAAACGCGTCTGTGTGTAAAAAGCCCTCTGTGTAAAGACTTCGTTGTGTAACAGCTTCTGTGTGTAAAGGCTCCTAGACGTTTGTGTGCAAAAGCTCCTTAGAGTAAAGACTTCTCTGTGTAAAACCCTCTGTGTGTAAAAAGCTCCTTTGCGTAAAGGCTTCTTTGTGTAAAAGCTTCTATGTGCAAACGCGTCTGTGTGTAAAAACTCTCTCTGTCAGGCCTTCTTCGTGTAAAAAGTTCTGTGTGAAAAAGCTCCTAAGAACGTGTGTGTGCAAAGCTCCTTAGAGTAAAGACTTCTCTGTGTAAAACCTTCTGTTTGTAAAAAGCTCCTTTGTGTAAAGACTTCTCTGTGTAAAAGCCCCTGTATGTGTAAAAGCTTCTGTGCGACTCCTCCATCCAGCTTTCTTTCGGGTCACGCTGTAGTCCAGTTTCAATCTGCAACGTTGTTCTTGTGGAAGAATGCAAAGAACAGGTGAAAGCATCGCTCGTTTAAAAATTGAACAGAAACAGCGCACAAAGTGCTGTAATTTGCAGCATTTTGCGTTGCCAGATGGCAAGAACCCGCGTAAAGACCACAGTTTTAGTCCCCGAAAGTGGCTAAAACACTGTTATTTACAGGGTTTCGTTCACGTCACGATCTTCGATTTTTTTAAAAACGCGTAAATACCAGCATTTTTTGCGTTCATCAACGCAAAAGATCGGCTCAAAAAGGGAAGAAAATGCTGTAATTTACAGGGGTTTGGCGCCGCCACGGGCAAAAAACTGCGTAAATACCAGCGTTTCGGCGTCCAAAAGTGGCCAAAACACCGCTATTTACAGTGTTTCGTGCCTTCCACGTTTTCTTGAAATTGCAAAAACCCTGTGAAGACCATCATTTTTTGCGATCAACCCGCCAAAAATGCTGTAATTTACAGTGTTTTTTTGCTGTGCTTTCAAAAACACTGGTATTTGCAATGCTTTGTGCATCTCGGGTCCAAAAAGTATTGGTATTTACAGCATTTTCTGCGTTTTTGCATGGCTCCCGCAAAAGACGGTAAAACGCAAAAATGCTGTAATTTACAGCATTTTGTGACTTTCGAAAAGCGAAAAATCGTCCGAAAAATGTGTCAAAACGGCGCTTTTTTCCGATTTTAGGTACCCTCAAAACGGGGGGGGGGGAATGCTCTTGGAGACGCTTATGAGCGACCCGGATTCCGGCCAAAAAGCTCTCCCCCACCCTCCTGAAGGATTTTTGGTGTTTTTCGGGGCCCGGCGTCGGAGGGTCGGCGGCTTGGGGCGCGCCTCACCATAGAGCTCTAGTCGCTCTGGGACGCTCGTAGGGCAAGCCACTCGTGTGGAGCCGGCGGAGCCGAATTTTTGGGCTGACGCCCCTCGTCGGCTCCGCCGGACCACTCGGCCCTCCATTTCATCGCAGTGTGGGCGTGAAAGTTACTGAATGAGGACCTGCTTCAGAAATATATTCCTTAGGTTTTTTGGAACATATTTGTTGGAATAGACAATTTTTTGGGGAGCAAGTGAGTTCCCGAAAGCTCCTGCGAAGGGTTTTTCCTAAAGAACTGCTGCCAATTTCAACTTGTTACTTCGTGTAAAGGCGCCTCTGTGCAAAGACTTCTCTGTGTAAAAGCTTTTGTGTGTAAAAGTTTCCGTGTGTAAAAGATTCTCTGTGTAAAGATTTCTTTGTGTAAAAGCTTCTCTGTGTGAAAGCACGTCTGTGTAAAGATTTCTCTGTGTGTAAAAGCTTCCGTGTGTAAAAACTCTCTGTGTAAAGGCTTCTCTGTGTAAAAGTTTCTGTGTGTAAACGC